TCTAGGCAGGCCAAGAGAGATATTCCTTGGCTCATGCTTCGAGAGTTTAGTGGTGCTTGGCTGGGAGTGTTTGCGGGTCTTGCATTGCGTGTGGCTGGAGGGTCAGGTTGGGTTCCCTGGAGGCTGCTTCGCCGAGGTTGCTGACTACCCCGGCGGGTCATTGAGCTGCTACTGCTGATATTCGAAATGGACAGGTTGAATTCGGAAAGGATCGAGTGATTTCCATTAGTATAGAGTAGTTGCTAAATGATCACCACCAAATTAGTTCATCCAATTACTCGTCGTTGATTTACGCTCTGCCAAATTGTTTGTACTCTGCATGTATAATCGATCCATGCCAAATGATTATTAATGCTCCAATATCCATGTGCAAATTCCTGCGATAGATATTCATTTCCAGAGGATTTAATCTTTCGTCAGGAGGTCTAGTAGTGTACTTCTTGGGGTAATCACTTTTATCCAATGAAAACAAATCTGTATTTCTATTGGGTAACGTTACAGTCCTCCTGCTCGGCCGATCATCGAAAGTTCGGCTGATCAACAAAGGGTCCCATTATAACCTTGTTTACAACACGATCCATCTCACCACACTCCATACCAACCGTCCTATCCAGTGGGTCCACGTCGTCGTCGTTTCTTCGGTCATGGGGGCGTCGTAGGTCGCTTGATGGGGCGACGGCGTAGCCGCTCGGGCGTCCGCCAACACTTCCATGGCTTGCTTGGCATGATGGAAGGCACGGTCCAGGAGTACGAAGGGGTTGCCGTCCACAGGGCAGTTGGTGTTGGGTGGGGGGAGGCTGCCATTGTGAAAGAACTGCGTCACGATCTGATGGAGGCAGCGACTGGGGTGGCCAGCCGTGAAGTGGCCATATCCGTCTCTGGTTACGAGCACGCCATTAGTGGGGCCCATAGACGCTGCCACAGCCTGAGCCGACGACAGGGGGGTTTCGGGGTCGAATTCGTTGTTTAGAATCAGCACGGGGGCGCGCAGGGGGGTGTTCCAGGGCCCGGCGTACCGCTCGACGACTTTGGTGCGCCAGTACTTGACGGGTAGCGCCGGGACGTACCAGGACCCACCAAAGAGGGGGCTCACTTGCTGGCTTTTCTTCAAATGATCCTCCCAACTCGACGCAAAAGTGTGTGAATTGTCGGCTTCGTTCGCCACGTACACGACCCACGCGGTACTTCCAGCGTCATACACGGCCTTGTCGGACGTACATGACGTGGCACGCGCTGGTGTCGACGCCGTGCCGTTCATGTACGAGTGGAGCAAAGTGGCCAGTTGAGGCCATCTCGACGGAGAGATGATCAAATTGAACATTGTTTCGCGCAGGGCTTTGCTGGTCACGACGGTCCAGTCGTCGCCGGCAGGGACAACCATCGGATGGTCGCTCAGTTGGTCAAAGAATGAACGAAGGCGAGAAGCCAAGTACGGCCGAAGGGGGGGCGCGGTGTCCGCGAGGGGGCAGTGCGCCGGACCCGCCTCCTCGCAGTAGGCGCAGAATCCTTCAAAGGGCTTTTCCGTGTCTGCCAACGACGTCGACATGAGCTCGGGCGTCGGGCCCAAGTACAAAGCGGGGTCCAATACCGAGTCAATCACTACGCGCCCCACCCGATGGGGAAACATGTTGACATACGTGAGCCCCAAGAACCTAACCATGGCCACCATATTAGTATGAAAAAACAAACAAACGACAGTCCTACTTACGTGCCATACGAAATGCCATAGAAATTAAACACTTGTTCGCCCAACGCAGCGCGAATGAGGTCCATGTCCCGAGCCACAAATGCCGTCGAAAGGTACGGTAGGTACTCGCGACCGTCGTACTTGTGGCATCGCTTGGCCAGCAGCTCGTAGCTCAGCAGGTACCTCTCAAAGGACGTTTCGCTGCTGCCACGCTCGAATGGAATGGGTTTCTGGCTACGTTCGTTGGCTTCGGCAATGCCAGTGTAGCTGGACTGTGTGCACATGACTGGTCTGGACAGCCCAACGCCGCGAGGGTCGAACCCTAGCAAGTCGTGCTCGCCGCCCGTGAGGGTGGCGAACGTCGGCTGGGCCAAAGACAGCCCCGAGCCTCCTGGCCCGCCAGGGTTGAGCACAATCGTGCCCTTGCTATGACCAGAAGTCCGATACAACCGCACGGCAATGTCGATGGTCGCGGGGTTGGCGGGGTCGAGGTGGTCCAGGGGTACCGTCAGCCATCCACACTGGGCGCGAACGTCGTGCGAGTCTGCGCACGGTTGCCAGTTGAATGGAGATGTAGCTGTCGAAGATACAGCAGTCGTCACAGCCGCCAAAAGCAGCGCAATCGTAACCATTGGCGTCTTTTACAAAGCTGCTTGCCCTGTTGTGGACAGGTTGAAGCCAATCATGTGTCGGATAGCAGAGTGCTGGTCCAAACTGCGTGTGTATTCTTCAAATAAAATCAGCCGTTTAACCCAAAATTTTCAAATGTTCACCGGACTTGAAGAATGTATTGAGATTGTCTCAAATATATCGAAAACAACAGGTGCCTTCGCCTCTTGCTTTCGAATTAATTCCCAGGAAGGTGTCAATGTCACCTAAATGTATCCATGCACCTTCCTTGTGATTGGCTCAATAGTACTGGATAAGGTAATCATTTTAATAAAATTGATTGTTTTCTAATTTCATAAAAAAATAGAATGTCCAACGTGTCAGGGATTTCGGACGGAGTGGTACAGTACTTTGCTATAAACGTTCGCAAGGGCATCGAATTGGCCACCGAGCCAGCGAACTTTGTGGGGTACTTAAGCTTGGCGAAGCCAGATAACATGCCCCCAAGAACGTGAAACGTGACCGACTTGTTGCCCGCAGTCAAGTTGGATTTAGGCACAACGTACGTTTGGAAGTCGACCAATGCTTGGTCGTCTGTGGTCAGGTACTTCAAGCTCTCGGTTGAGAGGTCCATAGAAACTGTGCTCCAAACTCACCACCAATTAATGCACCGTACGATACTTGAAGGCCAGCTCGTTCGTAGCTGAGGGCCGGGGTCATCGCTGGGTCGGCCACGTTTTCGCCTTTGATATATACAGTACGAACATGGGGGAATTGCCCTCCTAGAACGGGAATAGGGTAAAAAACTTGTGGCCATTGGACATTTTAGTGATGTTCACCAAAAATGTCATGTGTTGGTATTTTGCTCGTGGTTAAACTGTGGAACTTTACGAGAATTGCTTGGGCACATCTAGCCTTATGCGTATCGATATCTGAGCACTCTACGTACTACACCAGGCGCGGAGCGTTGGGGAGTGTGGGCTTAATTCCCCGAAATATTTCCATATGTAACTGTCCGGTGTGACCAGCAGCACATTTCACTACAACTCTTACACGGCTACCTTCGCAAAGCTGACGTGCCTTAGGTTTTCTTGTTTACATACAGTACCGTGCGTTTGGCCAAAACGAATGTATTGGTTAATTCTTCCATAACGTTTTCCCATATCTATCATTTTTCATATCTGAAGGTATACCGGTAGATACACGATGATGGAGTGAAATTCACTTTCTGGGCTGCTCGACTTCGAAGGAACAACCCAGTCGCCCACTAAGAACCTGCCGTACGTATAAAACCCATCATTTAACCACGAGAGCCCCACTTCGAAATCCACGAGCAAAACCCCAAAACACCACGAGTGACAAACTGCCCCCCCTTGAGCCATGCGAGTTGTGGACGGGAAAGCGTTGCTTCCACACGTTCTTGCTATTCGAGTTGGTGCGGTCGAGCTTTGGGGTGGTCTACGATTGGGCGGCGACAAAAGTGCAAATATTATTGGATTTTACAAACCATCAGATTGCAATCACGAACCCCATTCCGAATATGCACGATCCTCATGGTGACAGTGAATGGGTTGATGACGTTAACTATGTCAACCACAGCCAAACTCCCCACCTGACGGTAACTCGCTAGGCGATACTTGTATGGACATGCCCTTCCAATATACCGTACGTTTGGGCGAACTTTGAAGGCATTTCTCGAGGTGAGTTTATTCGTGGAAGGCATTTCTAGAGGTGAGTTTATTCATGGAGTTCATTGGACTCACCAGACGTACAGTACTGTAGTCGGACATCTGGATACTTAACAGTAAACCCATCGACACCCAGACCCAGGGCATTGCCCCTGGTATTACCCCTTCGGGAGTGAAAACCCTCCCTATCTATCCGGTCAGACGGGACGGCAGAATGGAGTTGGGATGCACTAGATACACATTTACTACACAGTTGTAGCTTGTTGCCCGTCACAATTACAAGGCGGATGCCAACGGATGCCAACTTACGCGACCAAGTGAGCAAGGCTGTTTGTTGTACAGTAAGGTTACCCTCGAATTTGATGTTGGATGGTACTGTAACAAGTTGCACACCATGAAGAGGGAAGCGAAGGTTATAACACGTCCCCTGCAGTGTTATGTACGCGTGGGTCCCATGGAATGAACGACGGCACGTACTTCGTCAAAGGGGGGTCTAACAGGTCTGCACCTTACTGGGGCACTACAGTATGGCTGCCTCGAATTACAGCCAGTTGGTTCGTGCCAATCCCCCTCCACTCGGCGTTAAGTACTATAACAAAGGCATTGCCCAAATGAACTGTTGGCAGCGGGGCTTTGTGGATTGTATTGTTGACGAGGGCTAGTGCAGTACTAGTATCAAGCACTACGTACTGTTGTAGTACTACATAGTGCTTGATGCAGAGTTAACTAGGTCGCGCTATCTTGAACCGACCGTCCTTTGCTTCGAAGGGATCAACCAACACGGCAATCACTCACGTCGTTCTTGATGCAATGTCCTTCCCAGCTCAGTGGCGACGGGATCATATGATACCGCAAACTCACTCGATCATAACCGAGAACCCTCAGAGTCGGGATAAATTGAAACCCGCAAGGATGGATTAATACATGGCCGCCGCGATGCTTGGTTCTGGTTGCCACACATCAAAATGGACGTAGCTACTTGGGGACGACGACGACGTGCTCGAACACGACTTCTGGCTGTCCCCGCTTCGGCGGCGGCGGCGACGCTGTGTCAAGTGATGCACTTCTGGCCATTCAGAGATTGGAGACATGAACGTATGTTTCTTCTTCCACTTGGTCGCGGCGTCCCGGGTCAACGGCACGCGCTTCCCGGACACGTATTCCGGTCTCGTGTGGTACCGACTTGGGGGAGTCACGGGCGGGTACACGTGGCTAAACACGATGCAATCCGGTAGCTGTCGTAGCCGCGCTTTGATGACCGCCACGGCCTTGGCGGTGGTCGAAGAGGACGGCTGTCGCTCGGCGGACGGCGTTTGGAACATGGTCGTGAACGCACGAAACATGATGTCTGGGCGTACAATTGGGAACTACCAGAATTTGCCACGTGACCTTTCGACGGCGGTTACACTTGGTGATAGTGGAGGTGGTGGTGGAGGCCTTCGAATTTCGAAACTGGGGATGAAGATCGAAAACGAGCAGAAAACAGCTGGAAGAAAGTACAATAATAATGCTTCCACCACCTCATGACGCAGAGCGTTCAACATCAGACGACAGTGTTTTGCACCTTTTAGCGCCTAATACTGAGGCGTTGTCATGTACTACGTACAGTACTTGTACGTGAAGTGGTAAATAGCAGTATTGAACGTCTCTACTACTGTTGTACGTACAGTAGTTACTAGTCATCAAAGAACTTGCATGAAATACGCGTTCCGAGTAAATGTGGAGGTACCAACGGATTAGTTGCTGCTTCGTCTTCACGTGAATCGTCGTCCACTCCAAGCAGTTCATGCCTCTTGCAAGCAGCCAAACGATGGATATGTTAGTTATTACAATACTACATGTTCCACCTGGGGCAGTCAGTCCATTGTGTTTCCCAATGAATCGCTCGTAACTACTATGAAGTAGTTTTGATGGAAAGTAGAGGGGGCCAACTGGGGCCACGTGGGTGAATCGCCGTGGTTGTGGCGTTGTATAGCAAGGAGTACATTTGGTACGATTTTCCGTACATCGCACTAAACCTCGCCGCAACTTTGATCTGTTGATCTGAAATCTACATTTTTTAACATGTACTAACGTTACTCTATTAATAGTATGGTGCAAGTCAAAGTGGGGAAGTTTGCAGGCTTCCAGCCCTGAAGTGCGTGAAGTGCCATAGCCAATCAAAATGAGCTTTGGCAGGGTGATGAACATCAACCTTCCACAGCTCAATTTGATTGATCATGGAAAGCCCATGCAAAAGCAGCTCGCCTGAAGCACCGAGATGGACCTAGCTCTGCTCCATGAGGTTCTTCGTGTTGAGCCGTACGACGGCGAGTACGCTACACTGACTTTCTGCGCTGGAAGACTGTCGCCGCCAACATCTCTGCGTACTTTGAGATAGAAATTCCACACCGCTCTGCCCGAGACCACTACGAGTCCATGTTGGAAACGTTCAAGTCAACCGACAGGGCGCAACGACTGTGGGGAACGGGCAGCGAAGAAGAGGTTACGGAGCAAGTTGAGCTGTTGCAGAACCTTGCCGACCGCCGCGAGGCAAAGGATGAAGCAAAGAAGGCAAAGAAAGAGAAGGAGCAGAAACGGCGTGACGCAATGGAATTGACGGGGTTTCAATTGTGCCTGGAGGCAGAACAGCGTGTCGCCAAATCGAGCATCTCCAGCAATAACACTTTCCAAGTTGGAATGGCGAAGTATTGTCAGGTCATGCCGACGACCTTCGATTGGCCCAAATGCATGGGCAATGATTCTATCGAGGGTCACCAAGGTCTGGTATTTGACGGCATGGCGTCGTTTGTGCCCATTGTACACTATCCGCTGTCGCTCGTTTCCCTCCGGCCGGCAGCACTCTCGTACGGTCCCATCAATAAGCACCCATACATTGTGAACTTCGGCTCCTTTTGCTACGACCGCTTGGCTGAACTCGTGTAAGTTAGTGCTGATACGGTCGCGGCCCAGAAAGATGATTTTCGGCAAAGTTGGAGTAAATGCGGTCGAGCATGTGCAGAAATATGTTGCAAAGGCCACTTCGAGCACGGCCAAACATAGTGATAAGGTCGGACCATCGATCGGGGCCTGCAAAACGGCGGAGCAGGATACAGAGAGCCTCGACACCACTGCAAGTGGTTCGTTCTGGGGTAATGACGCGTGGTGGGATGCGAAGGAAAGTGACAAGGGATCGCAAGGGATCGCAAGGGATCGCAGGTTTGATTTCGTGAAGCGGAACTTGGCGAGGCAGTCGGTATCGGTAAAGGTGTCGAATGTGAAGCTCACATTATGTATCGTTAGCTGCGTACTGTAGCGTCTACGGCACAATAGGGTAAACTTGAGACGCAGAGGCACTCCGCTGTGATGGAATCAGTCGCTGTTGCTGAGGATGCATTTTGGAGTACTCTATGACAAGCATTTCATTGGGCAAACCAGAACATACGTGTTTTGCGTAGTTTGCAGGCTTGCTAAACATGAATTCACCAGACTTCAGGCTTCCAACTTCTAGTAAATCGAAGGTAGAACATAGTTTGTGAACTCTTGACATTTCAGACTTGCTAAACGTCCCTAATGGAGAATGGTCAATGGAGCTTTTTATCGTTACACACGATTTTGAGTTATTTTATTGGCGCCAAAATGATTTCCGTCCTCCACCACCATCCTCCATAGGCGATATCCGGTGATGGAGGGTTCACCTCTTTAATGGAAATATTGTATACATTGTAGGAGGTTTTAAAGGTATGCCGCATTTCCAAATCGCGGCCAACATGTCGAATGATGATGCCTACTGGCACAAGGATGTCTGCAAAAACCCGACATGTCAGTGCGGCAAGTCTTTCATACAAATCCTTCTGAATTGGTTGTCAGTTTACAACGGCGATGTGTACATCAACTTTGTTCGTTGGCGCGGAGGCACCCGCTCGAAAGCGGCATGAATAAGGTTAGCAGCCGATTTTTGCCATTTGGTACGCTCCGAAATCTCCTAGATTCTACACCGCGAGCACAGGATTGTGCGCAAAATCGACAGGATACAAGAGTTGATCGATTCCTACGGCATAGCGAAGGATTTCATCGGTCAAACCGACGAAGGCTTGTTGTCCGCTGCAGATGAACGCTTTCACGACCCGACTGCTCCAGGCTACTTGGTCGAAGTTGATACAATTCGGGTATGATATGTATATTGACATATCCTTAGTAAGACTAATGTGATCATCGTTAGGATAAGTGCTTCAAGTTGTGCAAGCATTGGGATGTGCTCGAAAAGATCATCGGCGATAGAGCATCGGCCCGGCTTCTTCTCCGGTCAAGTAACGAAGACGATGACGACTATTCAGTCGACATGCTAAACACATCCACATTGTCTGGTAAATATTACTTCATACACTACTAACAGTTAATAATAAATGTGGGGTGTTAGATAATGTTGACGAGAATATCGTAACTGCAAACAAAACGGCGGAATACGTTCCAGGCTCGCCCCCCATAGCCACCGGAAAAAGAAAGAGCGAACCGGACAAGTTTGGATTTAGCTCGGGGAAGAAGAAGCTGAACACCGAATTCGTTGGCAAGAGAAGTTTCAGCGTCGGCGAGAGCCTGATGCAGGGGCTTAAGGCGCAGGCTCAAAGTTCAGGCATATTTGTCTCCCGGGAGGTGCTGGCGAGCCGCGCGGCGGAATTGGAGCTCCGAAAGGAAAATGAAGATCGACATTTCATGCTGCGCAAGCGTGAAATAGACCTAAAGGCCAATGAGCTCAGGCACAAGCAAATTATTGAAGAGGCACGTCTCATATCGTCCATGTCGTTTGATAATGCGGATGTGACGGAGTATTTTCGTGATGGATTGTCCAAAATTCAATAAAAACAATGAACTCTTGATTTACACTGATATCTACATATCACCAACCGATTCGCTCCAAAATTGGCGAGCGTACATGTCACACAGACTGGCAGGATTGACGAAGTTTGCAAGGGCATTGCTGTTCTGGTGCACATAATCTCCGTCAGCAGTAGCATCATGTTCGTGCAACTCAGTGTCCCAGTTGTCATCAAGGTCTTGCAACAATAAGCTCAACGAATCGTGAGCATCATTATTTTTGCCCCCCGAGGAGTAGATAGGACAACTCGCATACCGCGCAACGACTGAAAACGGCCTTTGAGTAGGCCAATGCAATGTTCGTTGACACACGCTTGTCGTTTGCACATCCAGGCCAGCCAAGGTCAAGGTATGGGATCCGCCGTTGGTCATCGCAGACAATCATGCCGGCCATTCCATAGTAACCCTTTCTGGAGTAGTAATCCTCGCCATCCTTGGAAGTCTTAGCAAAAACAGGGAACAATGTTCCGTCGACAAATCCAACGCAGTTTTGGAAACGTGAGTTAAGGTGTATGCGTCTACTGATTTGTCGGCGGTCATCGTGATCTGGCCACTACACAACACGCTTCTCAAGAGACAATATCGCCATCATACATCACATAAAGGACGACTGAACACACCCCTCGGACACACCAAACTAGCGACAAGGACCCCGACACAACCACCATTCCCATAACGGCCGAGTTTGGTTAGGAAAACAATTAATTGATCCTCCACCGCAGCTTGGAAATTGTTGCTCTTCGATTGATACACACTGTGATGTCTTATCTGCTCCACCAAGAAGTAGAACATGCGCCTCGGCAAGCGAACTTCTTGTTTGAACCGCTTGTCGTCCAGCCCACAAATAAAATCGAGCGGCGACATGCGCTTTGGAATATTGTAGAGTTGATTGGACAGGTAGGATAGAACAATTGGCCAAACCAATTGATTAGCACTTACAAACGACTGACACGGACAACCACAGTACGGCGCTCCATCAATTGCGCTACAGGGATTTCGGCGGTTGAAGCATCGATAAATCCATTGGGGACTTCATAAAACTCGGGAGCACCATCGGCACCGCCACATGGACACACACCAAACGGACCACTGACAGAATGAGCGTCACGAGGAGGGTCACCACTGGAAGGAACACCACAAGGATCGCCAGAACAACCGCCACAAGGACAACCATCACCGCCAAAAGGACCGCAATCACCACCACAATGACCACCACCACTAGGACCGCCACCAAATGGTTCGCCACAAGGACTGCTGCTAAACACTCACAAGAAGGCCACCATGATTGCCATCAGCAGTGTCGCCAAGGAGAGCGACGTGGGGACCACCATGGCCGGCGAATGGACAAGGTAAGCCACCAGAAGCTACTGAAATACAATAAACCTTACGATCAGTAGATGGGTTAATGAGCAGCAGATCAAGTAAATTGGAAATAACCCATGCGACTTCCAATAAAACTCACCACTTGATTAGAGATCGACTATCTGACGAACTACTCGATCTCCGACGTGATGTAGAATCACAATTTCACCCACTGATACTATTCGGAATTTCCCTACTACCTGATTCTTCGTACATTGTACTAACAAGTTACAAAGTCCACAACTTTCTTCAGCCATCTCGCATTGTTTTCGGAGGTGAATCGAAGCTGCTTGTGCCCAAAACGTGTGCAAGTTGATTTCATGGTGACATAGACGAAGCTGGTGTGCAAGTAGATTGAATTTAACATGAGTTCGTACAGTAATGGCTGAGATATCCCTCCACAAGATTACAGTACCGCCAGCAAAGTATTGACCGAAATATTACGTTATATGATAACATCTTTGAGATCCCATAGATGAGTACATTTATGTAAAGGCTGGGAGAAATTTCGCCAAAACTGTTCTTATTAAGGATATTCGATTCAAACCTATATTAAAAACGCAAAGTAGGTTATATGTGTGTCCACATCATCGAGGTTGCACCTTTGGGGGGAATCAGCTTGTCGCTTCAATTCACTTCCCCTCACAAGCGCAGTGAAGCCCAACGCCACCATCGTTTGAATCGCCAAGTGAGATTGTCTATTGACAGCAACCGTGCTGCATGCTTCTGTCGCCATCGATGAATCGTTCGAAGAGTAACTATTATATGATGGAGATGTATTCATACCATTAATAAAACGTGTTTGCTGATCGATTTGATTTGGTTACATAGGGTTTAAATGATCGGCTACTGCGTTTTTGATCAGTACCTAGTCTCTTTCGGATTTGCTGAGTTTTTGATTGCAATATATATATCTTATCAGTAGCAAAGTGCATGCATATTTGACATCTACTGACGAATTAAAATACTATTTCGGAAGCACTACAGTCCAATTGTATTGATATCAGTAGCATTGGAAGTTAGTCAGCAGCTGGTTTAAAGATCTAATGAAATCATTTAAGTAGATGTTTAAGCGTTCTACGTCTGACGTTGAGGGCGAGAATCGCAATTCAACTGGAAATACGAGTCGCATGGTTGCCTGTGTGTGTCGTATATTGGAGTGCGAGTGTGGTAATGTGGATGGCTAGTAGGTCCCAGAGGCTAGAGTGGTTGAGCGAGGGCGCTGGTGATGAGATCCACAGTGTTCAATGTTGATATGATTGATTGAATTTCATTTGTAAAGTATGGGGTTGTAGCTCAGATGGTAGAGCGCCCGCTTCGCATGCGGGAGGTACAGGGATCGATACCCTGCTGCTCCAGGCGTCTGTAGTATAGTGGTCAGTACTTCACGTTGTGGCCGTGACATCCTGGGTTCGACTCCCGGCAGGCGCATCTTTTTGACCTTTCCTTTCATTTTAGCCACACAATGCACTCACCGTCTTCCGCATTTCCTGTGAGACCACTTTTCCAGGTAGACACTTATATTAATAATATCAGCACATATATTCTTCCCCATAGGTATAGGAGGAATTAACTATCGTAGGACTTCCCGGGCGCCAACAATACTCCCCAATATCTATTACCCCCCTCTCTTCAATAATGTAATCGCATATATAGATGTGACTTCGAGGTCTTCACCGATTTTCGCACCAAACGCATGGCAGCGTGGCCTCGTCGAGGCATTTACGCCACATGGGCTCAAATGAACTACCATATAACCTTGTGATAAAACATTAGATTTGTAAGCTAGGATCGACAGGCTTGATGTCACAGGTGAGGACAGTCCTTTGTAGTTTACGAGATAGCCCACATGAAATTGGGTGTCCATCAATCCGTCATGTCGCTGTCGTCGACCAAACAGGTAGTGCTGGGTGACGAGTAGGTCCAACGGAAGAGTGAATTCGATGCCTTTGCCGTCGGTCACGACCTCCTACCCCACACCCACCCGGTCGAGGGCATCAGAGGAGCCATATTCTCGACGACAAGTTGCAGCACCTGCCGGACTCTAAGGTCGAAGCAGTGTTAGCCCAGGTGAACAACCCCGACGCCCCGTTCCGCTGATGCGATTGAGAAGGCCGAGTTTACGTGTTGTTTGAGCAAGGAAGTCAACATCTCCTATGTGGCATTAATGTTTTGAATTTCGCAATTGAAACTGCAGCATGGTTGGTAAATATATCACGTATTAGGTGCAAATCAACAAATCCTTGAGTTGTTGGTGCAAGTCAACGGCAAACACGAGTGTTGGTGCAGATGTACGCTAAAAACGGTATATAGCCACTTCTACTCTGGTGTAGCAGTGAGTTTAACGGACGAAACTAGCTGTTTGTTGATTGCAATCAAACAAGTTAGGTGCGACGGTGTGAAATGATAGCATGCCTCGAATTGAAACTATTGCTCTGAAGGTTTTGCCTCCCTGCCTTACCAACGCCAAGACATTCGTTTCAAGAATTGTTTTGCAGTCTATATCATTGGACAAATTCATAGTGCAACTCTTACTTTCTTCGGTAGGCCTTGCATTGTGAAGTTCCCTGCAGCAATAAACCTTACGATCAGTAGTTGGGTTAATGAGCAGCAGATCAAGTAAATTGAAAATAACCCATGCGACTTCCAATAAAACTCACCACTTGATTAGAGATCGACTAACTGACGAACTACTCGATCTCCGACGTGATGTAGTATCACAATTTCACCCACTGATACTATTCGGAATTTTCCTACTACCTGATTCTTCGTACATTGTACTGACAAGTTACCAAGTCCACAACTTTCTTCAGCCGTCTCACATCGTTTTCGGAGGTGAATCGAGCCTGTTTGTACCCAAAACGTGTGCAAGTTGATTTCATGGTGACATATACGAAGCTGGTGTGCAAGCACATTCAATTTAACATGAGTTCGTACTGTAATCGCTGCGATATCCCTCCACAAGTGAATCTGCCACCACCAAAGTATTGACCGAAATATTACGTTAAATGATAACATCTTTGAGATCCCATAGATGAGTACATTTATC